CAGTTATCTGCTCAGTGGCGTTCAAAAGTATTATAAACAAATTACGTACTATAAACAAATGACAATTTCCGAAAGCAAGGAAAGCAAAGTCACGATGACTGATGTGTCAAAGACGAGTATTTCTTCGTCGACGCGACCTCGTCTCGTAAGCTCTCCTAATGATCGGTCTTCGCAGAATTCTCGCGTGCGAGTTCTATTACGATCCAGTAGTCGCAAGGTTTAATCCCTTTCCACGAGTTTTCGAACTCGTATAAGCCAATCACGAACTTTCCGACGACGTCGCGTCGCTCGCGGACCGAAGTACTCGGCATGACTCACGAATCCTACCACGAGCGAGACGAAAGTTTGTATGCAGCTTACGATGTTCCTGTACGCATCGCGAAAATAGACGAACGCCACGGGCGTTTCCTCAATTTTAATTCACAAGTTAGTATACAAGCACTACGCTCGTAGAGATTATCTTCTTTTCTCAGCACATAATGATTATACAAAAAATACTATTTAATTAAGCAGCATAAAATTTTTAACTTGTATATATTTACAAATTTATATAAATATAAATTTTTTAATTTATTCAAAAAGATCGAGATCGTCAATCATAATGTTGAAGATTATCACTTAGTATTCGATGATTTATTATTCAAACTCAATACCATCAATCTCCAATAATTGACTGCAACATCGGGTAAACACGTTGTTATTAAAATCTCATTTTCGCGAACGGTTAAAATTGCGCAAACCTCAATCATGCCGCGAATCGTATGCGAATTTTATGCGTGAGAGAGAAAGAGAGCGGCTACCCTTAATGTTCAGATAATGCGCGACCTTTAACGCTTCGCTGCTGACACCTGTAAAAGTGCGATTTAACACAGCAAATCGTTCTCGCAAGAAGTATGAGAGATCTAATCGCGAGAGTTGCGACGGTAATTTTCCTACGCCAACGAGCAGAATAATTCGCGCAAAACTTGTGGACGCACCTTGGAGCTTGTGGATTCAGGCTGGGATAGCTGGGAAATGGTGGAAAATTAGAAACGGTAATAAAGGAAACAGTGCCATTCGAGGCCTGGCAGCTGCCTTAACTTAAAAGAACTATCCTCGCTTTGACAACCCCGAACTTTTGATCGTTTAACGTGCAATTCTCTCTCGTAGTATTTGGCGCCCGATTCTCGCGCGAGTTTGAGGTGCCGCTTTTCAGAGAGGAACGAGTTATTACTTATTCCCCCACTTCCAGATTTCTTCGTGTCTCGGGGAAACTTTGAGGAAACTTTCCGAATTCGGTCTCTTCGATCTTACAATTCTCTTTAATGCGAGAGGGGCTTTTCATGGCCCCTTTCTCCCCTTCTTCTTCCCACTTGTCTCCAAGGACATTCATAAATCATTTTCTTTCGTCGCGAAATCCATCTCCGCCCCGCGATTATCCTCCTAGCAACGAGAGCAAGATGGAACCAGCCAAGGAATTACTTTCTTTCGTGACCTTTGTCGGGTGGTGGAATGCACTAAGCCACGTCGATGAATCGCACACTTCACTAAGTCTTGAGACGATGAGCATATCCGACATGAAATCAAATCGAGTCCGCTTAAGGAAGGGTACAAGGTGTTCGAGGATTATCAAACATTCTTTATATTCTATTAGGGCGAATTCGAAAGAGATTTCACTCTTTATCATTTATCTTTCTTCAATGTAAACTAACGGGGTAACCATTACATTTATTGTTTCGGTATTTTATCACTATATAAATACACGTATATTTCAGCACTAAATAAATAAATAAAGCTTCACAGCGAGACCGGTTTGATGGACATCTGCATGTATTTAGGTAAGAGTGTCTTTCTTGAAATGTATCGGAGAGTGAATTAATACAAATGTGACATTCAAGTGGCGTCAGTTATTTTTGCATGAGATCGTAACGATGTATTTCAGAATACATGAGTATCCTACGTTGAAATCGGAAAAAGACGATGCTTGTGGCACTGCTCTCTTAATTTTATATTTATATATATACACACACTCACATTTGTGTATATATAAATATATGATAATTATATGTGTGTTTTTATATACATATATGTAATCTCCGTGACAGCAATAACGATTTCATGTCAACGCAGCACGCGGTTCCGGGTAGAATATGCAATTATGATCGCCGTTATTCTCGTCGCATCTCTGTCGTCGTACGTAGCAGAGGTAACAGATCCAACCGTCGAGGCGATAAATCGCGAGATTTATGTCGACAAATTTGACAACAAACCGTGGAATAGCACTCACTGATCCCGGAGAACAATGCCGAATCGGCGTCTGATTTGCATTTATGAAAAGGGCAAAATACCCGCTGTCCGTATTAATTAACTCTCTGTAGCGAGAGAACTGTTATTTATGGAGAATAATAAATTGCGGCGTCCGATATAGTACACGAAATATCATCGGCGGAAGATCGCGGAAAACTAAAACTGATTAAAATTTTAGTCAACGAGAATAGAGATCTAAAAACAAATCTAATTTCATATTCGTAAATGTTCCGTGGCACACTGTCGCGACCTGATATTCTATTGCCGTCTAGTTTGACCATTGCCGTTATCTAGAATCCGGAGGCGCACGTCTCACCCGCACGAGAAATTCATGGCGTGAGCACGCAAGCACGACAACTATGCCCTCGATTGCCGTCTCGACGGAAAATCGAGCGAAGGGAGAGACAGAAGAGACAAAGGGAGAGAAGTAGGGAGACAAAGAGAGAGACAGAGAGAGAGAGATAGAGGAATAGAAAGGTGGGGCATTCGCGAACACGACGAACGGAAGTCGGCCGCTAAGGTAGCAACGGACTCTATTCCGGGCTTCCCGATTCCTGAAAGCCCGAGGGTGCTGCAAGCTCGACTCTATTGATTTCTCGCGTTAAAGGGAAACGCTCGGTACGCGTAGGCTTTGTACATTGAAAATAGAAACGCGAAACATGGCAACAGTTTCCTCGATACTTTCTGTCGTATTCTTTTGACCTAATCATTTGACACAATCAATCTTTTTATACAAGCTAAAAAGGGAGGTTATCTTATATATGTGTTGCTACTTGTTGTATTTCAATATTAAAATAAAAATTTCAATATTAAAATTAATCAATTACTAATGTGTAAAATTAATTATTAACGTATGAAACTTGTTCTCTCTATAGATGTTTAAAAAGATTTTCAAGGAGATATAATATAAAATCATAAAGTTTCGATGTGCTTTTCAAATATATTTTCATGTAATAAATTTTTATAAATAGAAATTCTTCAGTTTTAATGTGTTCCCAAACGCGTTTGATTTTCTTCTACATTTATAAACCAATTATATAGTCAATAGAATGTTTGAGACCGGGGAATTTTCAGTGTTATAATAGAAGTATCAGGGCAATTGTTACGACGTAATGAGACTGGGTTTCGTTTAAGATATCTGCGCAATCGATAATCGATGTCCTATTTTCCGTACCGCCGCTTATCTATAAGCTCAAGTAACACAATAACCGCTGATAACGGTTTCAAAACAACAGATACGGATACTTTCGTGAACATACATCCCAACAATACCGATAAATTATTGAACGTACAGAAATTTAATGAAAATGTCTGGTAAAATGTATCACATTTGAAATCGCGATGTAAATCAGTAAATCTTCTATCCCACTACCCACCAATTGAATCTTCGTGTATACAAATCTGAATCTGACGAGAGTGAGCGACGAGAGTGAGCGATCAGACGGTGCTTGTCTCGTGCATTCACACGTCGACAACGTGATCGGGAGTGTATACAATGAGGTACGCGTTGCGAAAGCATACCAAGGCACAATTACCGGCGGCGGTTTCCTTTCGGAATGGCACATCGACTCGATTCCAATTACGGTTTACCATGTGACGGCCGCAAGCGCTATCGTCACGCGCGAGGAAGATGTTTGCTTCCCCGCGAGATTATCGCGCCTTAATTCGTGACTCTCGGTTGCGCGAATCATTTCGCCGATAAATGCCTCGCAAAACATCGTCTACTAGTTACTGCAGCGTTGCAGAAATTTAGATTAGCGCCAGCTCAGTGGCGCCGCCATAAATACTGAACGTCATAAAGTGCATGCGTTAGTGCAACCATCTCTCTATTTTTTTCCCTTTTTTTTGCGTTTAGACCGAGATACCAATTCAAGCTATGAAAAACACGTTTAAAGAGTGAAATTGAAACGAAAAATTTGAGAGGTTTGAAACTCGAAATAAATGTGCTCTTTTACTTATCGAAGTGAATTATCATATGCACAAGCGAATACTGCAAATTTTAATATGTACTCTTATAAAAGAAGTGTTTAATTTTAAAATATTAAAACGTATAAAATTAAAATATCTTTTATTATTAAACGTTTGTTTTGAGATATTTTAAACGTAAACATTTTTTAAACACTGCACTTTTTACAGTGTATAAAGAAGTTTTTGCTCTTGTATACATATCTGATTTAGTTTCAGTGTAAAAATAACACTGTACGTTTGAATAAATTGAAACAACACTATACTTCATGTTTAAATGTGTAAATCCATTTTTGTGTGTGCAGTATAGTGTGTTATTTTTGCACAAAAAATTAAATCATACACATATAAAGGTACTTATTATATATTTAGATTTCCAATATGACATTATTGCACACACGATTTTCTTCGTTTTTCTGTACCGTTACTGATGTATAAAAAAATATGTGAGTGAATTTAGAATAAAATAAACTTTTTCTGAATTAAATCTGCAAAAATTTATAAAATATCAACGTATTTATTGAGCACACAAATGCGGTCATAAAATAATTTTATATAATGTAAAAAATAGGTTGCCCGGAAAACATGGGTTAAGTCAATTTCGTTTTAACGACTTAAATACATTATATACATGAGGTATTATATACGGAATATAAAGTCGCGTCAATATACACCTACTGTTTACGATACTTGCCGATCGTAAACTATGCAGAACGTTTAATAATAGAACGAAATTGGATTTCACTCACCACAACGAGCGCGTGCGTCAGAGCAGTCGATGACCTCGACCTCCTTGGTGTCATGCCGACGACCTCGCCCCTCATGATGCTCTCGACGACTGCGTAAGAGAAAAAAAAAGCGAAATCACTTTCAGTACACTTCACAATTATTCCACTAATTCGATGATATTACTTATAAAATTTTAATTAAATATACATAATTTGGAAAATTAAAAAAATCGTTATTTGCATAGCAATAATTTTAAATTAGACAACATTAAATAGCGCTTGAAAAAACGATATTATAAATAATATTTAATAAATTATTTAATACATTTCTAGTTTTTTAAATAATGTTAAGTAACATTTATGAACAATAATCATTTTAATATAAATTTAATCGCTATATTATTAATTAAACGTATGTGTTTTATCTCATGCTAATGTTTCTTACCTCCATCGCCAATCAGCCGCATTTGTACTAATGTGGGATCCTCGTTGTGATCTTCGAGGACCGTATCGTCGGTGACAGTCAGATCCTAAAAGAGAATAATCAATTAATAATCAGGTCATTAAAAATTAGTATTATTAAAATTTGTAAATCGTCCTGGACAGATCTATAAAGCGCTTTTAACGTTAATTATCCCATAATGATTTTCACATTCCTCGCTATTAATTCGACCGATAAATAATTTGCTAATGGCAGCGATACGGGTCGAGACGCTTAATTATTTTCTAGGTTCGTTGATCTTGTAAACGACTTCATTCGCGATTTCAAAAAATTGATTACATAATGGGTATTAATTGATTTCAATTCTTTCAAGAAATTTCGTGATTCGTCCGATTAGCTACGGAATGTTTATCTATCAATTCGCGGGTCAAAGATCGGACGATCGATGGTCTGGCTTCTCGTTAAGATTCGTCACGGTCAACGCCTCTTCTTGTCAATACTTAACTGGTCAGCTTAACTGATCAGCGGCGAGACAGAGTCGCCGAGTTGCAAGAAACGAGACGATATGCGACCGCGATGCAGTATCTATATGTGTGGATTTCTCTGTCGATATAATTTCCGGCAAATTCTGTTTTCATCTCACTCTTATTGATAGTATCGACATTTTAAAGGTAGAAAGTTTTATAAATTCATACAAAATTTAGACTTTATCTTATAAAAGTTCTAATCGAGACCACAGCTCAAGATGCACAACTGTAATATAATTGAAAATAATTAAAAAGGATATGTCTGCAAATAAGTACCAGTTGGAAAATTCTCTTCTTATTTTCATTTGTTTAAAATTAACACAGAAGACACAGAACACACAGAACAAAATACACAGAAGAATAGTGTAAAAAATTTATTTCTCTCTTTTTATCCTCCTTTAATTCTTTTTCTGCATTAAAGTCTGCTGCTTCTCGGCACTTGCTTCTGATATTTAACTATTTTTATCATGCTTATTGCTTACTGCTTTATTACTGTATGTATTTGAACTTCACTCTCTTGTAATAGCGCCACCGTTTTATCGTCCGTTTCTGTATACTCAAAAAAGAAGTGTTTTTTTTTTAATTTTAAAATATTAACAATAATAATCTCATTTTTAGACCGTACATGTAAGAACACAATCGATAAACTAGAACCCTATATCGGTCGAAGCTAGATCTTTATTTATTAAAATATTAAAATTTATCGATTAAAATATTAAAATGTTTATTCTTGTCTCCATTTTTTAAACACTTAAAGATTTTTAGTTACAAACTTTTTTAATAAACAAAACACATATTGGTTTAAATCCAAACATAGTGTTTTGTTTATTAAAAAAGTTTAAAACTGAAACATCTTTAAAGCGGGGTTGTTCCACGGGGTTCACCTTTCGGTAAACTTCAGCTCACTCTGTCTACTACTCTCTTATTCTCTTATGTGTGTGTGTTCTTACTCTTTTATTCTTTTGTTTATCCAATAGGTAAATTACCACATATGGTTTATCTAAAGATGGAACAACCAAAGTATTTAAAAAATAGAGAAAGAATAAAACATTTTAATATTTTAAAATTAAAAATACTTCTTTTTTTTGAGTGTACTCTATAATTTTTAGTTTATTTCTTATCTGTATTTCCCATAAATCATATTTTTTTAATTTTTATGGTACTGTAAACTATTACGTTTCTAGTTTCTGTTTATCTAATGATAGTTCAGGTTTTAGGTTTCTAGGCAGCTATTACTGATACCTCACCTTCTAAATGTGTTCCTACCTTATTGCGTTGTTTTATTATTGTTTTATTTTCTTTGTACAATAGACTACGTTATTATTATTATTCAATACATACATAAGAATCAAATAAGGCTCGCAATTTAACATTTATGTTAATTTGTTTTACAAAATGGAAGACAATACATATCTATTATACTTTTTGATGCTCTCCGCCTCGCGATGTTTCATTAAAGTCTTTAAAAGATAATGTTAGAACGAAGAATATTCGAATAAACCTCAATAGGCAATCCATTCGATTTTGCTGATACTTCTGAAAAATATTCGAGACAGACGTATATACGAAAGGAATAAAGAGACAGAAAAGAAAAAACGCGCGAGCGACAAAAGCTTCCTCAGACAACTCAACCGATATTTTATGTTCCTTCGCCCTTCGATCTCCGCGCCTTTTCCGGAACATTCTCTCGTCGCGGACTATTTCAGGGATTTAGTTTTCCAATAGGAATGCTGCGCCAGTGTCAGGATAAATTATCGGAAGCTTTCTCACCGAGAGACAAGACGAGGATTACTTTCGCGACGACACGAGTCGTCGTTCGTTTCTTTACCTTAGGATGTTTAACGGCAAAAATATGAGAATATTGGTAAAAATATGAGAATATCGACTGAAAAAAGAAAATTGGCTCATTTAAGTCACTTCAAGATGTGTTATCTTTAATGAATAACAATGATAATGTTACGACAAATCAGCACAAATAGCTTCATATCAAAACATATCTTAATAAATATGATGAAAAAAGAATATGTCAAAATTAACTTCAAAAAAATTAATATAAAATAGATATTAAGAAATAAAAATAAAAACAAAATTATTATATATTTATATAAAATTATATTTAATCCTCTATATATATTATTTTCCACTGCAGATATATGAAATTTATATTATAAGTTTACTGAAATAACCTTAATAAATGTTCACAACGTCATGCTTCTAATGACTAATTGCTTAATAATTAACAAATATGTCATCTTGCAGGATATTATCATTAAAATTAAAATTCTTTTTAAACTCTCGGCTTATCATTAATTTGGAACCAATGAATTAATTGAAATTAATAATAAACACCGTCTATATATATAACTATAGAACAATATCGAGAAAAATTTAATTTCCTTTTCTTGTAGTTTCTTTCGATATCGATTGACCGAAGTGAAACCGAATTTTTATGTTAAAATAGAGATACTATATTAATTAGAACAAAGGCCTATAATTTCCAGTTTACTTAAACGACATTTTTGATACCACAAATCGTTTCCTTTCGAAAATATTAATTCATTATAACTTGTATTAAATCTAATCTCTTGTATTAAATCTAATCTATATTAAAAAGAATTTTTTTTATGTGTGCTAACTTTAGTCTTAAGTTAGTACAGCCATTGTTTCTCGGAATTGGCTGGAGCAACAAAATTGGGAATTGAACAACAAATTAGCAACAAAAAAGCACTAAATTTCTGTATAGGTTTCGTTCGATTGTGCTGAAGTGGCTGTGTCAGCTTAATAGACGTAATCTTGATAACAGTTGACAAATTTAAAATCGAGTATAGATCAAGCAACTCACAGAATATATGGGAGTCCTTCAAGAATTGCTGCAGAACAGTTCTAATCTACTAATAACATGTCCCTCTAATATTTATTATTAGTAGCTTGCTAACTCACCTTAGTGGACTCGTTGTAACCGACGATCACGGCTGTGTACCATTGTGTGGTGCCTTCCGCCCGATAAACTTCGACCCTGAAACCGACCAGGACGCTGGGCGTAGTCAACAGAATCCTCTGACCGTCCTGCATCTCGGCCCATCTTCTAACGGCGTTTCCCCAGGGCATTGCGCCCTTAGTCAGCTCCCAGTCCTGCTGTAAAGACGAACAAAAAAGACCAAGGTTGAAGCTTCGTCCGTAGAACTTGATTAAGAAGAGCGGACTGTTCTCCTCTGCTCGAGAACCTGTCCGCGATTTTGGAAGAAAAAAATAACAAAGGATAAAAACTCGCGCAATTTGATAAGAGATAACAAAGAGGATAAAAACTTCACAAAAAGATGAGTGCACGAGATTTTACTCTAAAAACAGACTACGATTTATACTATACTTTATTACGTATTTTACTTATAATTTTAAAATATAATTAATAAGTCTAATATGAATAAAACTTTAATTATTTTATTCTACAAAAATATATAATAAAGAAAAATATTCGAACCTTCGGCTATTGTATAATATGCCATTGTTTTGAAAGATAGAAGCTGATGCGCTTCTATCTTATTCGTTGACTTTATTTTTATCTCATGTACGAAAAGAACGATTTTTCTGAAGTATCTAAAAATTTAGTTAGATATATGTAGACATAAAAATAAATTTTGAAATGTTAAAATAATTATGTAGGACGCTCAAGCTAATTACTAGAATATTAAAATTTTTTGTAGCATTCCTCTTAATGTTTGAATTTTCTACACAAATACTTTAACAGACTAATAAAATTATTTTCAGATTCGTAACTAAATTTTTAGATATTTCAGTAAAATCGTTCTTTCTGTATATTAATACTATCATAAATCAACAAAAATGATAAACACAGCTGAAACTTCAAATATCGAATCTGATTAAGGAGAATAAAAAAAACGTCATATTTTACGCGATTAATAACCGATATGTCAGAAGATTTTATGCATACTCTTAAAAGCAGTGTCTGTCGAGAAATTAGATCCGATGAAACAAAAATTAGTATCGGAATATTTAATATCCTTTTGTTAAATCTATAATCGGATACCTCGATAATTTCTAGCGCATTAGAGCGTCAATCAAAATGTGACATTGAAAAACGTTAATTACAATACCGTCTGGTTTATCGAGCTATAAATATAGTCAAAGCTTGTAACTAATTAATACATAATACATTTCGTCGTATGTCTTTACATACATGTTAATAAACTAAATCTTATATGACATGCAAATAGATGGCTATAACTTTTAATGTCATTTCCAAGTCGACCGTACGACAGAAAGGTTTCAATTTTTTTAACTTAAAACAATTTTCTAATTTATGTAACTCCGTGCATAATTTTAAAATTGAACTCTTTTTATCAATTTTGTATGGTTGATTTGAAAATGGCGCAATTTTCAAGCAGGAGAATCGCCGAGGAGAAAACTCGACGGAGTTTGGAAGTAAAGTGTTTAGACTTTGAAACGTTTCTTTCGAAATGCTTCTGTGAATATTTCTGATAAAGTTACATAAGTTTGCATTTCATCGTTATCAATTTAACGTGGCTCCTTGTTGAACAGTGCATTTATAATACTTCATAATAATGGGACTCTCTTAAGAATATTATGCAGATTCGAAGAGGGAGGGATAATATCAATTTTCACCTTGTTTCGCGATCACTTTTTTTTTCTCGATGACGAGTACGCGGTCGAGCGAGCACACCGCTCGTGTTCGCATTTAAGTTACGTCACCACTACGCCGTTACGTCAGACACGCGTTATGCAATCGTTGCGCACAGCGTGACGGCGCGAAGCGCGTTAATGGTAGTAATACAACGGCAATTAGAACGTTATTACCGAAGCGTCGAGAGCACTTAATGTCCGCGCAATACTCGTCGTGAACGCGATTCACGAGACATTTTGCATGGAGTTCCAATGCGGGCCAATAGCGCTTCCCCTTTCTTTGATATACTTATTTTTCTCTCTTTGATTTCGAGATAATTCAAAAATTTAATTTATTACATAATCCACAAGAATAAACAATAAAGAAACAGAATTATAATAATTTATAGAAATTTTCTTTATTAATTATAATAATTTATAGAAATTATAGAAATCATCGATAAAAGAGTAAAGCTCCGTCGTATTTGCTACAGAAATAGCTTCTAGAGATTTATCGAGCAGTCTGTAAATGAAAAAAAATTACGGATGACCACGACCTCGCGGCAGGAGGCACTACGATTCGACCAGATTTGATGGTATAAGCTTAACTTCGGTCTCGACCGTTATTATCTTATATCCACTATGACCTGCATATTTCGCCCAACTTTTTCCTGGTTATTCTTGGAACCTTCATTGCGCGAGTGAATCGAACGAAATAAATGCTCGAAAGATGGAAAGGCAGCTTCACGTGATCAAAGAGAACTACGTAATTACGCGAATAATAATTGCTTTGTAGAACTGGAAATATGACATCTCGAACTCAATGTATTTTGCAAATTGGTATTCCTACCATTAATATATAAAGTGCAACGTAAACTTTACAGACTGCTAAGCATTATAATTAAAATTACGTCAGACTTATTATACTCTTCACAAAGTCCTCACATGCCACGGAACTTTTTACAGAGTTATAAAAAACATTCATTAAAAAAATATATCAGTTTTACTAATATATCAGTTTTTATCTGTTTTGCTTGTTTCACTACTGACATATTGCAAAAATGTCATGGGTTTTAGATTTGAAAATTTCGTTATCATTCATTAAAAATTATTCAATTTTACGTTTTTCTCATCGCCAGAAATAGAATATAAAGTCTTATGAGGAAAATACTACATGATTAAAGAGCTGTCTTAACAATCATATTATGTTTGCGAAAGTTAAGTGAGATGTTAGTTTAGATAAAAGTTTTTCTAAGACCTGTAACATGCAACATGCGTTTAGATAAATGTCCAGTATCCCTAACATCCCGAAATTATCGTCTAAATTATCTCTTCGTGCGAAATTGGTACACGCTATTATAAATGTATTCGTGCACATAGCATAATTTCTCGCGATTTTCTCATCCATCATAAACGAAAGTGCTTGCAAATAACTATGAACCATCATCCTCGCTGTCGTTCATATCTATTGTAAAATCGTTCCCTGCAAACTCAGAAGAAGTTTACCGAGAGGCACAATCAATAGAAGATTTTCGCGCAACATATGGCATTTATGGGGAGACACTCGTCATGAGCAGTTCGCAAAACGTATTTTTCGTTCGTCAAGCCGTTATCGTCGTTAAATGTCGATATCGAGTCGAGAAATAACGTCCGTCTGGACACGTCGCGCACCAATTATAACGTGGAAATGAACGACCAGGATTGGTCTCGGGGTCAACGAGATTATCTGTCGGTCGTTGAATTATTCGTACGCACGATAATTCGATTCGGGGATGTCATTCGGCACGGGAACGAGAGAAACCGAATCCTTATTTATGGATTACGACCCCACGTTATGGATCGCTTGCTCCGAAAGATCGTTTCCAGAGGTTTTCTCTCGTTCAAAGCTAGTCGACTAAATCCAATCTTCGATCGTATTCTCGATATATAATTTTAATCCTCTCCACAAATGCGATGCAATTTTCAAGTAAAACTTCCATGGTAACATGCACGACCTTCTACATGTGTATAATATATTACTTTCTTACGAAGTTCTTGAGCTAAATTAGCAATGAAATTAGCATTGTCTTTCTCATAATAAATTTTGAAGCTTGCGTGATATCGTAAAAAATATTTATTTATTTTATTTAAATTCAGAAAATTATTTTACTCAAGTAAAAAAAATTTGATGTTTGTCTTCATTTCATAAAAACTCTGTTTTTAATTTCACTAATTATTGTTATTATATATTGCGTAATTTAATGCTCAGAAAAATGTAAAAAATATAAAACATTAATTACACAAACAAAAAATATATTACATATAGTATCGTTTTTGCTTATAATATTATCTTCAGAGATTTATGTTTTTGGTAATACATTATTACATACTTCATAATACGTTTCTTTCAAATCGTATAGATTTTAATATTAATCAAAATTGTTCGTGCGCTTTTTTTAAGCGAATTCTCTAATTATTAAGCACATACCTCTCGAAATGAAAATTATCGGTCGGAAAATCACGGCCCATACCAATGTCGACTGTTATCGTTCTATCACGCGCCGCGGGTACTCGTTAGCAGTTGCTGGCGCGGCAGCTAATTAATTAAGGAGTTCCTTAATTAAGAACGCGTCCGCCATTAATCGCGATGCGTTCACCGTACAATCACGGAACCAAAGCGCCGGCAGATAAAATGACTATGGGCAGGTGACTGTCGTAAAGTTTAAATTGAAGGCACAGACAGATGCGCGTGTACCGTTTGTGTACTCGTGCAATAAAATTACTCGCGTGCAATTACTTTTTACATCAGCGTCTGTATCTATTCGATAAAATTTAGTCAATAATGAACACGTCAACTCCGATATTACTCGATATAACAACTCTGCCAGTCTTACCGCTACGATACTTAATCGTTTTCGTATTTAAACTTTCCCAATGGCCGATGCACGCACAGCAGGTAGGTTATAACATCATTTATAAAACGGAACTGTTTCGTAATTAGGTATTACATGGGTATAAGCTCAGTTTGTAGAAAGTTAAGCTTTGAGACATCAAGCTCTTGGGATAGTAAAATATCTGAGAATATTTTAATAACAGATTCCTCAAATTCAGATATATTGATATTCCAAAATTTCGAAACATAAAGCTAATAATTTATTATAAATATAATAAATGCAAAGCTTATAATTTTGTTGTAAAAATATTATATAAGTTCTGTTAAAATTAATGCACATCCAACAGATTACGAACCAAAGTCATCCGAAAATTCTTGGCCGATAAGTTTTAATATTTAACTTATAATTTATAGCGAATTCGATTGGACGCACTCAGTGCACACTAGTGCATATTAAAGCTGTCGTAATGGATTAAACCGCCGAACCTTGTACTCATTTTATTGCATTGTTAGAAAAAACGTGTAAATTATAATTCGAAATATTCACTTTTACACTCAAATAAAATCAGTATACAACGGCTTTAATATATACGCACTAGTGCGCGCAACCGAATTCGCTATTAGTGTGCTATTTCGCCAACGCCTTGTCAATGTAAATTAAAATAAATCAATCAAGATTTTATTAAGATAAGGCAATAGACTTCTTAATTATTTTACATAATTCTTTTATCTACAGATTCTCGTGTCATTTCAAACATCAATTTGTGCATTTAGATGAACAGTATTAATCTCTAAAGTAAAAGGAATAACATATATTTCTCTTCCAGTGACCTTTCAGGCAAGATTCCGGCGAGGATCGCGTGAAGGGACGTTATACCAAAGGTATAACGTAATGCCATCGCACTTGACTAAGGACCGTTAGACAGAACGGGAATATGTTGGCGCCTCATCTTGGCCATTCTCCAACGTTCCCCGATGATCATACGCGCGCGTTACTGATGCGAATCATTAAACTAATACTTAACAGTTGACGTCGTCAGCAGCAAGTAAAAACAACCGCATGGGTACTTTTCTTAACAAGTTATATAAATGCACTCTAAAATCCATTCTCTAATAAAGATTTCCTTTCTTTAGACCATCTTCTATATATATATACATATATATATATATAGAGAGAGAGAGAGAGAGAAAACTCTAGACCAAGAAAAGACTTTAGGTCTTCAGAAGATGAAAATATATATTGTTCATTTATCTGATTTTTTCACCTTCTAAGGATCTAGAAATCTTTTCTTAGTCTGTTCTAAATCCGCTGCTCTTAAATCGTAAGTGACTCTGAAATAAAATTTATAAAATAATTGATACTATTACTTCCAATGCATATAAATATTTAATCTTCCATCTGCAATCATATTCTTACTCTTTCTGTCCAGCTTAAATATTATTACTATTTTAGACTTTCAAAAAAGTAAAAAATTCAAGATTATTTTTCAACGTATCTATTACATCACTAAGTTTTTTAACAAGATATTTCAGTAAAGGAACCTGGATCTCTTTTATTTTGAAAAAATTTGTAAGTAAAATTTTGCTTGTACCAAAAAAGACCCAGATTATAGACGGTTAATATTCACGAGGTATAAAGTGCGGTAGCATTCGTTCATGGCACTTACGGCAACGAGAGCAAAGCGAAAGCGACGTCTTCGAGCGATGCAAGGGCACGCATGTTAGGTACTATGCGATGCAGCGGGGAGAAAAAACCTCGTCGCATTTATAGTTCAGGGTCAGCCCACTCGCGCGCAACTTTACCCCTCAGACGAATTTGGACCCTCATACCATTTCTTCGTCCCTTTTGTATATCTTTTTTTCTTTTTGTACTTAATCGCCGACTTTCTCCTTTTCTCGACGAGCACGCCGGTCCGCAGTTGAAAGTAAAGATCTATAGCCGCTCGAAAGAGATTTGTTGTTCAAATTAGGACCAATTTACAACCGCAGAAAGAATTCGCAGTGATGATATATATAGCTTCGTGAGTAATTTTGTCGAACCACAATAAATAATTGAATATGAGATTGTTTTGAGTTTATTATAAAAGTCAGCGTCAAATATTGTCTCAATTTAAGATGCTAAACTCGATCGATTTAAGGCATTAAATTTCAATTAAAAAGCTGAAAAAATGAAATTTGTCTTGCATTGTTAAAACGTACGAGATTTCTCGGGGCATCCTTAATACACAAATTTTTGTGTATTATACATCTTGTTTGAGATGGACTAATAAATCGCACGTGGCAGGATAAAAGGCGGATTTGAAAGGTGAGACACACCTGAACCTGACCACCGGACTGAAAGTTCTCGCCGCACGTAAACGACTTACAACCTCGTATACCGTCGCCGAAGCGGGAAAAAGTTTTAACGGTAAAAGTTTCCCGGTAGTTTAATTACTTGGAAACAATTCCACCTCGCTCAACTCTTCCTACCCTAACAGAAACGCGGCAACTTCCAAAGTGGCCGCACGCACACACACAAAAACGTGCACGTGCACTGTTCTTTCACCCTCGCGGAGAGGGATCGGTCTGATCGATTTATTATCTCGGTCGAGTGTCTCATATTTCCCTATCTGGGAGCTTTCCCGACAAGAGCGTGGAAGTTTCTGCATGCTCATTCATTACAACTGCCTGAAACTAATCATCGAAGGTCAAAAACTAATACCGGAATTTGCTTATCACATTCGTAATTAACACATTAAAAACCACATTCGTGTCAGAAAATTTTAGAATTAATTTCTTTTTTTAATGTGAATAGCCAATAAAATGTATTAAATAAGCAAATAAATGAAAAGAAACACGAAAACGCGTTATTTGATAATTTGTTCGTAAAGTTTAGTGGAATATTCATGATGAGAGAAATAAAATGATAAAAGCATCTAGTTAATATAAAAAAAAAGTAATACAATGTAAAATTTCTGTTTTTAATACAATAGTGATGTATTAACAAATAAATTTAAACAATTGTAAACAACGTATCGAATCATATTAAATTCTTTTGCTTTTACAATTTACTTTTTAATTCCACATGTAACATATTTGCCCTAAATAATTTAAATATATATTTTCCTATTAATAAGTTTCTCCAATTTCATTCGTCATCAGGAAATAATAAAATTTTCAGTTCAGGGAGGAATAATCCGTGAAAAGTTCTGTCACGCTCGCGTACATAACTCCTGCATACACGCGAAAGTGAAACGGGAACTCAAGTCAAAGTTCGGCTGCTCCTTCCACCTGGTAAGTTCGGTCGAAGCTCTTCCGCGTAGCTCTTAAGAGAAGTTGGACAACAAGCCTCCGTGAAAGATTACTTACAGCAGCGGTACGACTCGGGAGAGAAGAAGAGATGCGCGCTCTCGCATTCGCATCCGTTGCCCTGGAGGGGTGTCGGATGCGCCAATGGCGCCGGAACTTGTTCTCTAACTAAGTTCCCAGTGAGACCCCCTAACGAAGTAAGTTTCCAGTCGTAAAGCGGAAGTGGCCGCTGTGATGCGCTATACCACATTCGTCGACCGAACTCGCTCCGCTCGCGGGCTCTTAATCGTTTTCGGGAGCCTTTATCGTATCTCGCGCGTGAAATGTGCAGGACATCGCAGCGGTGAGGAAATTAGGAGGGAAACGAGATAACGGATTGCGTCAATGTACCTTGGTCAGCGAAAATTATCACCGTACTTCTCGTCGCGCGCACGAGTTTCATGCTTTTTACGTTTTCTTCACAATCCATATGAAAGGACATATGGACAATTAATTAAAAATTGTTGAATCATCAATTCCTTCCTTGTTAAATCTATAGTGTCAAAGTTAACCTACCGTGAGTCGCCACTGCTCCTACTCAATCATGTCGTTATTTTATACTAAAACAATGGTTATATTTGACACTATAGTGTTAATTTGATATTGTATAGTGTCAAATTGACACGGTATAGTGTCAAATTTAACTATCATTTTGATAAAAAATAACGATATATTTAGTAGGAGCAGTGGCGACTCACGGTAGATTATATTTGACACTATAAATTTAACAGTGTTCTGCTAAACAAAAATGCTACCTTCGTCACATGTTAAACTTTCATAAAGCGTAAAAAATATCAAATTAATACCGCATTAACTATAAATAATAATCGTTTAAAATTAATATGAAAAAAGAAAAATAAATTGATATAAGTAATAAATATGTTGAAGTAAATTTCAACAAACTGATTATAACTGTATATGATAATCAACCCTTAGTACACGCATGGTTAGGTCATTCGTGTTTTACACGTTTCTTTTCTTCAAAAGACTAGGAGCATCCAGTATATACAATGTTTTTAAATATACAACCTTACGAATGCCTTCTAAAGATGTTAAAATATATGTAATAATTACTCAACAATATTTGTTACAGTGATGAAAATGAACTCAAGGTACAAATAATCTATTGCGTGTAGTAAAGTATAATAGCAAAAAAACTCGTAATAAAAGTTAAACATTAACTATGTTAGTATTTGTTTACAAACATAATTTATCACTTTACATGGATTACAGAGTAATTACGGAGTCAAAGATCATACGCCGTATTATGATGATGTTACAGCTGATATCTTCGATAGCGCGGTTGATCTTAAATAATAGGAATAACTAAAACGTATAACTTACAGTGAACGGCTTCAGCTTGGAGTAGTCGACGAAGTCCAGTTTGCGATCTTGCATAAATTCGATCGGCATGGCGTCCTCGTGCAATTCGGCGCGTGCCACGAGAGGATAAAAAGTCTAAAAACAAATACGCAATTTTCGATTATATGTGTAACTATTCCAGTTGAAATAACATTTTAATCCAATCCATCCAAGCAACATATTTTTATCGTTTAACGTGCGCATGCTGCATTTAACTAATTCCATTTACATTAAAACGTTTTAAAAAGCTGGATATCATTATGAAAGACATAATATAATAATAAAATTGCACCAGAGCATTTTTAAAGAACGATATTTAATTCATTTATTTAATGAATGATTATACTTTAATTTTTACATAAATTAATTTTAACGAATTAATTAAAAATTACAATCAATTGCAGAATAAAAATAAAATTCGCTTATGGCATATTCAAATAAAAATTATTTTAAAAACGTACTTATATTTTAGAAAAAAAAATGTAAATATTATAATCTCTTTGTATACAGATATAATAGTTTTAATCTGATGACATCTGATATTAAATAAAAATTAATTATTACCTACATATAAAAGGAATAGAAATAAAGATATTAACAATTATAGCAATGATATTTCAGCAATATTTATACAACGCGGTATTCAGACCTTTTGATATTTCTTTACAAAAAGCTGCGTAGAAGGTAAAAATTTTAAATATATAAACGTAATTATTTTTGCGTAGTTGAATTTTCACAAAATAATTAAGAGCTTATTCAATCGAAGCATTAAAATTTTAATCAGAAAAAGAGCGCCGAGCCAATGGAATGCGACAGTTCGTTTTGTAGCGGTTGAATTGTGTCGATGTAAAATTTATTCAACCGGACTGGAGAATTGAGTATTTCATTAATTAACCATGAAGTGATTATATTCGAATAGTATCGCGAGCATTTCTCAATTATCATCGTTAAAATATGAGAGATCTGCATTAAAAATGGTAAATCGTGACAGTTTCTGTGTATAATTCGAAGGAAATCACACATGACAGATTACTGTCGCATTCAGGCGTAAATATTGTATCGTATAACATTTAAACCGTGGTAAAAATATTCTTTTAACGGTATATCGTATAATTTCTATAATCTACATTTCTAAACAAAGTAGGAAAGTTCTGTAATTCATAATGCGATTAACAAATAGAAAGAACTTATTTTTTGTTTTCGAGTCATATTTAATGAATATTTGAAGAGGAGCATCTCTCTTTATGTTTTCTCCTTATTATACAATCTAATTCGGAACCTACTCAAACAATGCCAATGATGAGAAATCACTGATACAAAAACCATCGATATTTTTTCTTTGAGAAAAAACGAAACAAGGTCATCCAAGAATTCGTAAATACATTCATGAAAATTAGATACAGTTTATTTATACTTACAAGAGCTGGCCAAGCAACGGTGTCAGCGACCGCCGTGGCGCCCCTGAGCGGTTTCCCGTTAATGCGGTGCTGATGGTGGTTATTGTTCGCGTGATTATGATGATCGATGGGGATGAGACTGGCGTGCCTGGGGTCAGGTCGTTCAGCCCAGTAGAGACCTCTTTCAATGAGAAAGAAGGAAAATACGGCATCCCTATGTGGTGACAGCCACTCCCTCCTTTGCCATTCCACGTCGTCGTACTCTACGAGGATCTGCAAGCATATATAATCGGACGCTTATATTAATTGCATACGTAATATAAAGCGACTAGACGAAAAGTTTCGAAAAGAGACAAAGCTCAAAAAACAAAGCTTTTTTTGTGACAGTTCAGCTCTCAACAAAAGTGAACTGATAATATTGATTGATAATATAAATTTGAAATAAATCAATGTATCCATATATTTTTTCTTGTTAAAATAATTAATATCTTAATAATATTTTAATTATATTTTGCAGCTATATGTAATATAGAAGCTATGTATCTTTGTGAGAGACGTAATGTAAAAACCATTTTGAGAATAATCCCTTTAATTAAATAGCATTACGAGAACAATTTTCTGCTTAGCCATTTTTTTAAGTTATAGCATATACCCTTTCCGTTGTTAATTAGAGACTTTCAAAATAACAGGTGCTACATAATGAAATGAAATCTGTGTAGGTTCTACTTATTCCACGGAATCATGAGGGGTTAAGGATTAAACTATTCTCGACAACGAGCGGTTATCATGCGAACGATGCACGGGGCGGGACCTTTTCAGCTATCCACGTAACAACCACCCAGTTAATTATCAGCGCCTATTATCGTGATATTCATGCACGCTTATCGAGTCTCTCGCGTTCCTCCAGAAACGCACGCAACGAATTTGAACGTCGATGGTGAAATTGTCTCGACTATAACGTACATATTTGCACAGAGAGAATGTGAGAGAGAGAAAGAGAGAGAAAGAGGATGGTACATGGAAATGGAGCAATTAATATGTATTATTCATAACCTCTGGTCTGGAGCAGAAAGTGCTGGCTTCTAGGATAACGAGAGGGGGTCATGGAAGCGGGATGTAGCAGGATCCGCACGCTCGGTTTACTCTCGGGCTTTGTCAACGCGACCGGGATTCGGTCGGGGAACCGATTTATCGAATCAAATGACGGATAGTCATTCTATAGAGGAGAAAGTGGTATTATGGTACCCCAGTTATACTTTACACAATAACTTTGTTAATAATCAATATTTAAATTGAAAATTTGATAATTACATTCGTTAAAATGTTGTTGAATCGATTCTGGACTCAAAGTTACGAAATATTTATTACTTACACTGTTAAATCTATAGTGTCAAATTTAACTTAACGTGAGTCGCCACTACTTCTACTCAATTATATCATTATTTTATACTAAAACAATAGTTATATTTGACACTATGTGTCAATATGACAGTGTCAATTTAACACGATACAGTGTCAAATTTAACTATCGTTTTGGCAAAAAATAACTATATATTTAGTAGGAACAATGGCGACTCATGTTTGGTTAAATTTGACACTATAAATTTAACAGTGTAGAATAAACTATTAATAAAAATGTGGCGACATTGCATAATGACTCAAAGAAAAAAATGGGTGGTAATGTGGTGGTAAATTTCATGAAAATAGCCTTAAAATATTAGTTTTGTTTAGAAAACAGTATTTGATTACAAAATTAACAAAAAAGTAAAACATTTTAAAATATATGCAAATGAATTTATATATACATTCATATAACTTCTGCATGTAAGCTGCTCAGTACTAAAAATCTTAGTACAAAAATAGTACACGTAATATAGGTAAACTATACATTAACAGTACAGCTATACAATCGATTATTAAATAATTATTTTGATATGAAAACCTCAAAAAAGAGGTTGTGAATAATCAATATCCATAGAGGGCCACATTAGCAAAATGCCGTACTGTTGTTTAAATTTGCATAACTCAAAATATATACAGTCAAATAAAATGTTAAATAGCAAATAACATACTCAAAAATACATATATTCATGTGATAATACGCTCAAGTTCAAGAAAAATGAGGAAGTAGTTGTAATTAAATGTTAAAATGTATCTCAGAAACGTTTCGAAATATTTGAAAATAAAAATGCGTTATAAGTAATAAGCGCTGGCTATTGTCAGCTATAAAAATGCTGAGTATTGGTAAATTAGCGTCATGGTGTAACGGCGAGCTACTGAAGAAATAATTCGATAAGTATAATCATTACAATTCGCTATACATATACTCGTAATAGCGGAGATATTAAGGGAGGCCACAATATATACACTAGCCATAATACCACCTTCTCCTCTATTCTATGGCCTCTGCAAAAGTGCACGCTCTACTTTAATCTAAAATTAAATGAACGTGAACTCTTCAAAGAGTGACTCATCCGTTTTGGGGCTCTCGATTTTGCGACTGAACTCTGTATCCAATGATACCTTATAATGAGATGTTAATCACAGAGAAGTTTCAAGTTGAGGTGACAATTATTTTCAGAGCTGGGGAAGTGGAATCAAAGTCCATTATCGAATTATCATTATACGGGTGTCCCAAAATAATCACCAAATATTTCATGGGCAAATAGAGCGGACTAAACTGAGTCGAAAAGTCCTCTACCATTTTGTAATTTTCGCAATAATTAACAAGATATTAATTATTAAAAATTGTCGAAAATTAGTCTTCAATAATTTTTTATTCAAATACTAATTTTAGTATTGCATTTTCTTATTTTTACTAACATGAGAAAATACGGTATTAAAAAATTCTGAAAAAATTTCTGAAAAAATTCTTAGAGTTCTATGAAAAGAAAACAATTTTTGTCTTTTGTAGTTTTTCTATAAAACTGATAGTATTTATAAAAAAATTTGAATAAAAAATTTTTTATTGAAGATCAATTTTCGGCAATGTTTAGTAATTAATATCTTGTTAACTATTGCGAAAATTGCAAAATGGTACAGGACTTTTTAACTCAGTTTAATCCGCTCTACCTGCCCATGAAATATTTGGCTAAATGACGCTTTGAATGTAAAAAAATCGGATTTTCGCATGGACGTAATATACGTAAAACCCCCTCCAGCTATGATAACAATTGTCACCTCAACCTGAAATTTCTTTGTAATTAATATCTCATTGTAGGGTATCATTTGGCACACAGTTCAATCCAAACATTGAGGATCCAAAAACGGACGAAAAAGATCCCTTTTTTGAAGTCACTCTTTAACAACATAAAGTATATATTTAGATCAAAATTTTACAAGCTGTACTTCTATTAAACTTTTAAGTTCACTCATAAAAAATTCAAAAATAAAACAGCGCCTTTATCACGCAGAACTTCTAAAGCTTGGAATAATTCCCATCTTCAATCATTTAAGGTAGTATAATTATAAAACGTTACGTCGAGACATCACGAAATGTTTGCACGATGTACATAAATGAGAAAGATCTTTTCGTGCACAGATCGACACAAGAATGTATGCGTATTATATTTATAGAATACTTTGCATCCGGTTTTAGATTCCCTCAGAATATCATGCAACCCTCTCGCCTGTCTGCCACACTGGGGTCATCGTAATCGTAAGGGGAGAGCGTGACTCGGTGCGGTCACGATGCATCAGCCAATTAATTGATAAATCAGTATTTATGGGCGAAGCACGCTCATCAAAATCGTCGCACCGTGACCGCAAATACTCAATTCGATGTGTTTGGCCAAAACATGTATAATTTACAGCGTGTTGTAATTATATCGTATATAAGACTAAGATTAAGAGATAAGTAGAACATGTCAAAAGTTTGAAATATGAGAGAAAGAATGATTTGTAAAAATGTAAAGAAGAGAATACATTGAATGTGTAAAATAACAGTGAAATGAAACCATTCAATAAAAATTACATATCAGCAAATTCTGCAAACAATAATATTATAGAGATGCGCGATGACTCAATTTACCGACGTCAGTAATATATCTAATAATAATTGTGTAACCATCTATTAACGTATCGATCGATGCCGCTTTATCCTTTTGCGATCGAAAGAAACGGCATGGTGTATAAATTTGCATTTGTATGACTGCGGGAAATTAATTGATGTGTCTGGAAATGGTGGGTTGGCCAGACTCCGACTACGGCACCGTGGCACATCGTTGGCATCAATAATAATTCGCGGCCGTTATTAATCGAACGCGCAAGAAACGCGAGATGAAGTACGATCGAGGCGCGGTTTCCGGGTACGCGAGTGGAGCGTGACAGCGCATAATTGCGAAACGTTAATCGGTTAATTAATAAGTAAATATCTACGGGGCGCAACGGCCGTTAATAATAGGCGAGGGAAGCGCCACGTAAACGATACACGGATGATTAATAATAACGCGATATCGCGCTCGCTCGCCCGTTCGCTCACTAGATGCGTTTAATGGCGCTGCCGCTGGCACGCAATTCGAATCGCGGGGGTATTCGGCACCGACGGGGTTATGTCAGGAATTGTAATCCGTTTTCGCAGGAATCTCTCTTCTATATTTCCGTGTCCCGCGTGTCCGGATTACCCGCGCATCGGGGATGCCGCCCGAACGACGTAATCCAAGGCGCGACAAATTCCTTCCCAGTTTATCAAGAATTCGCATTGCAACGATGAAGCGTGTTGCAAATATTAATGGCGATCTGAAAAAAATCGCGAGAATCGTTTTAGCATGAGAATTTCGAGAGTCCTATTATCTATTATCATTATCACTTTCATCATTACGCCAGAGTTTGATATAAATAGTGTTATATGTATTTTGTCACATAACTCTATATTGAATATTTTTTTACAATATATAAAATAATATTCTTAGTATAAAACTGTTTACAATTTTGTGAAATCGGACAACAATGTTTTGTTACAAATCGTGGTACATTGATCATTAGAAAAGTATAGTTTACCATATCTTCATTTTTTTATATTGGGTTCGTTCAAAAACTATTTTAAAAAACATTAACTACTACTTTATATTTAATTTAATTCTGACTACTCTGTAGTAACTTAGTAAATTATTACAATATAGTAAAGAAATGAGGGTAATTATTCCCTATTATTAAATTTACTATAAATTATCAAATTATGTAATAACTTACAGTCAATTTTTTTAGAAAAATAAAGAAAGAGAGTGATCAATATAGTCGATTAAATCAATAATGAATGGATAATTGCTTCCATT